CAAAACAATTACAAAGTTGATTGGATCAAAGTGAACGTGATTCGGTTTCTGTAAAAGGCTGGCAGGTGCTGCGTGTGAATAGGAGAGGCAGCAAAGTATCAGGTAATGTGAGTCTGCTGGAGCACAAAAATGGTGTCCTGAGTTAAAGTGAAGTAAAGTTTGTAGAGCAGTCAGGCACACAAAAATGTCAAAACCGGGACTACTTAGGCTCCATTAAACCAATGCACTTCACCACATTGATTTTCATTGTTTCTTCTCATTCCCTTGTTTACTTATTCATTACATGCTGCTCCACTCAGAGCATTTTGACTTGCTTGAGCATTTCTTTATTAGCTTGTTGGTGTTGGTTTTGCTTGTCAGCTACACTATTCATTTCTGGAGTAACACTTCATACTAAGGCAGCTGGTGCTTGTTGACTGAACAGGCCAGTTGTAATTTCTCTGCACTCTATAGCGATGTCAGTTTTTTCAACCTAAGAAGGACTATTTGCACAAGTAAGTTGTTTTCACTCCTAGTTGTTTTTTTACTGCCAGTCAGGTACTCACCAAACTTTGTATCTTCTTTACTCTTCTATCATGACATCATTATCCCGTAGGCCCACCAGTTATGCACATGTTATCTAGGTGAATTATTTTGTCCACAGGCTCTACTACCTGAGTTTTACATTCTGATGTAGTACTTGCTGAAATTTAATTTTCTTCAAATTTGGTAACTTTGGATAATACCATTACTACTGTGGTTTTTGAACTCTTTGAAAGTCTTTGGGGCCTATAAAAGGCACAGGGCTTTAGAAAAGTATTTCTCACATATTGGTGTGTATAATTTAAAGACCATGTGAAATGTAGATTACTGGCTCCACTTTGAAAAAAATTATGATTTACTATATATAGGGTGAGGGGGGGTCACAAGTATGCATTTTAAAGAAGCTACAGTTTTCTCTCTTGTATGATTAATAGTGATTTGTTGATAATTCCTCAGGATGCAATACATAGTTTAAAATGGAAGCCTTCTATTTTATAATAATTTTAGATTTATGCAACAGTTGCAAACAATTTTAGATTTATGCAACAGTTGCAAACATTGTACAGAGCATTTTCATGCACATTTCACTCAGCTTCCCCTAAAATTAATATCTGACATTTTACATGCATTTAAACTAAAAAATTAACATTGACATATTACTATGAACTAAACTTCAGACTATATTCAGATTTATAGATTTTTACACCCATGTCATTTTTCAGTACCAGGATCCAACCCAGCCTACCACATTGAATTTAGTTGTCATGTCTCTTTAATCTAAAGTCTATGACTGGTTCTCAGCCTTTACTTGTTTCCCATGACCTTTATGGTTTTGAGGAATACTTGAGAATTTTGTAAAATGTCCCTGGACTTGGGTTTGTTAGATGTTTTCTCCTCATTAGACTAGGATTCTGGAATTTAGGGAAGAATATTACACAGGTGAAGTGTCTTTCTCATCACATCCTATCAGAGGAGTACATGATACCAACGTGACTTCTCACTGCTGATATTAGCATTGATCACTTGGTTAAGGAGAAGACGGCCAGGCTTCTCCACTAAAAGGTCACTATTTTTCCCTTTCCATGTTCTGTTTTTTAGAATCCAATCCCTTTCCATATTCTGTTTTTTAGAATACACTCTGGGGAGGGCATTTAAATTTCACCTCCTAGAGGGAGGAGTATCTATGTATATTTTTTGAAATTCTTTGTAAGAAAGATTTTTACCTTTCTTCTCATTTATTTATATGTACAACTATATCAGTATGGACTCATGGATATTTTATTTTATACTGTGTTATAATTTTTAAATTTTAATTCATTTTGTTGCTTAAATTGTTTTAACTTTGGCCATTGTGTGCTCTTTCAGTTTGGCTCCTGATCTGCTTTCATTCTTTTGTTTTCTGAGCACTTCCGTATTTTCTGTCATTACATAATACTCCAGCCTCACCTTGTGTTTTCACTGCCCCAGGCCTAGAATTACTAATTTCTCCAAGGATATCTCTGTTTTTTTTAATTTTTTTATTTTTTTATTTTTATTTTTTTGTCTTGCTTTTGTTATTTTGGAGAATGGTATTTAGAAACCAAGATCTGGGCACTGGAGGTACTTGTTGCTACTTGGGTGTCATTTTTTTCTAGTTTCTCAGCAGACAGAGCTATAAAATATATTCATGTATACTAACCAATATGTACACAAGTCTATAATTATTTCTTTAGCTATTAATCTCTGTACATGTTAAACCACTCTATATTATAAACTTTTTTGTGTTCTTTGTTTTCTTATTGTTAAGTTTTAAAATTTATTTATGTATTCTGGATATGTGTCTTTTGTATAATATTCTACTTTGAAAAGTGAAAAAAATAAAGTGGCTGTAAGGTACAAAAACTGTTTTAACGAACAGTCACATGAAAAATTTTGAAGATGTCCAGTTGATCTTTAGGAGCTTCATGTGTGTTTTTCTGTGGGATTATTTAGAAAATAGAAGTTTTATTCAAACCTTCACCCATTTTAGATAAGTGAGTACTCATATGAGCTTGCTAGTTAGAGTATTGTTACAGAGAATTGAAGCATTGGCTCTTGAATTTAACATACAGTCCATGGAATTTTTCTAAGTAAGAAAGTTAAAAATAAATCCATATCAAATTTGGTCTTACCAACTTCACATTATGAAATCTACTAAATATCTTGAGACTTTAACATAGATTCTTATAATCGATAAATGAAAATATTTGTGATATATACATGTATGATGTTTGTTTCTCCTTTATTTAGACACTGAATGTAGCGTATTTTTATTCAAATTGTAGTAATACTATATAAAATAACAATATTTTACTGGATGTTTATTCTGTTCCAGACACTATACAAAATCATGTTATATAGATTATCTTGATTTACACATAAGCCATTTATTTGCTTTAATGGGAAACCTCAGAGAAATATTTATTGTGTCTATTTTGCAGAGGAGGAGTCACAGGCAAGAGAGGTGTTAATCATGCCTCATTTACAAGGAGGAACTAGGGTATACCTGCTAGTAATGGTAGAAAACATTGTTCAGCTGCACCTGATGAGGGACGTAAGAAACCTTCTTTTAAAAAATGAGTAAGAATGTACAGAAAAAATTATTATGTGATGAGAAAATGATATGCATAAGGAATAATGCAGGCTGAATTTGTCTATAATTAAAATTTTTTATAAAAGTGCTTTTTCATAGGTATTGTTTTAAGCACTATAAGAGAGATAAAAATTTAACTGATATTATTCAAAGGAAAATAAAAAATTACGACTGGGCTTGAGGGTATAAAGATACTCAGATTGGAAAGGAAGACGGGAAACTGTTGCGTGTGTGTGTGTGTGTGTGTGTGTGTGTGTGTGTGTGTGTGTTTGATGGAGTCTCGCTCTATCGCCAGGCTGGAGCGCGGTGGCGCCATCTCGGCTCACTGCAACCTCCGCTTGCTGGGTTCAAGCGATTCTACTGCCTCAGCCTCCCTAGCAGCTGGGACTATAGGCACGTGCCACCAGGTCCAGCTAATTTTTGTATTTTTAGTAGAAACGGGGTTTCACCATGTTGGTCAGGCTGGTCTGGAGTTCCTCACCTTGAGATCCGCTTGCCTTGGCCTCCCAAAGTGCTGAAATGACAGGCATGAGCCACCACGCCTGGCCTAAAACCGTCTTTATTCACAGATGACATCATCATATATATATAGAAAATTCAGTGAAATCTACAAAATGCTACTGAACATAATAAGTGAGTTTACCAAGGTTGTATGATGCAAGATGGATATATAAAACTCAATATTTATATATGCTGACAACAAAAAAATTGGAAATTGCAATTAAAAAACAATACTACATATATTTGTATGAAAAACAATAGGAAAAATCTGTAGAGAAAAAGATTCGAAAGACACATACACTAAAAATGAAAAATCACATAAAGAAATGGAAAGATGTACCTTCCTCAGTGGTCAGAACATTTCCTATTGGTAATATGCCAAGTATCCTCAATTTGATCTATAGATTCAACAGAATCCTAATCAAAATCCAAACAGGACTTTTTTTTGAAGACATAGACAAACCGATTTTAAAATTTCTATAGAAATTCAACGGACCTAGAAGAACCAACTTTGTAAAAGAACAGTGTTAAATAATTAGTACAGCCTAATTTCTAGATTTATTATAAAGCTAAAGTAACCAACAGAGTGTGAAATTTGTGCGAGAGAAAAATCAGTGGAAGAGAAAAGAGTGCCCAGATATTGACCTTCAAAAAATATAGACAACTGATATTCTACCCATTTCCAAATGTAATTCAGTGGAGAAAAGATTGTCTTTACAAAAATAGTTCTCAAATTATTAGATATAGGTAAGCAATAGGTACGTTTTTAAAATAAAAACTTGGATCTATATCTTGTGCTGTTTACAAAAATTGTAACACTTAAATGACAAAAAAACTTTGTGACCTTTGGATAGACCAAGTTTTGCCTAGATACATCAAAAGAAGCACAATCCCTAAAAGAACAAATTGATACATTGGACTTCATCAAATTAAAAAACTTCTTTTTGACACAGACAATGAAAGAGCAAAACCAAGGGTGAAGTGAAAAAAATTGCAAATCATATATCTGATAACCTATTTACATCTAGAACACAGCAAGTATTCTCAAAACTAAATATGATATCCAGCAACACAATTTAAAAATGGGGAAAAAATCCACAAAAACTTAAACCAAGGAGAGATAAGGATGGCAAATAAGCATATACAGAGATGTTCAATACCAGTAGTCATTAGGAAGCGCAAATGAAACCCAGAATGAGATTGCACTACACACCTGTTAGAATCCGGGCTGCGCAGGTGGCGTCAGCGCTGCCCCGCCTCCAGGAAGGAACCTGGGCTGCAAGTGGCTGGCGGTCTCCTAGCGACTAGAGCGGCAGGGATCAGGAGCCGCGGAAACTGGAGAGGTGGCACCCCAGCGAGGGCCACCATGGGAGACCAGAGGCGGCTGGACCGGCCGAGGCCCCCGGGCATGGACTCCAAGTCCTCGTGCTGTGACAAACAGCCTTCCAAGTGCTTCGCGAAGCGCAAGTACAGGCGCCTGAGGTTCCCGCCCATGGACCCTCGGAACCGGGTATTTGTGACGGAGGGCGTGGACAACTTCCGCTATGGCTGTCTGTCTCCCGAAGGTACGCTCGTTTGTCGCCGTGACGAGTTTTTACTCCCCAAAATATCTCTCAGAAGTCCCCAAGCTGACCCCAAGGGCAAGAAAAAAAAGCTGCGCAAGAAAGCGGCCCTATTTTCCGAGCTCTCACCAGCCCAGCCAACAACGAAGGCGTTCGTAGAGGGAGTGGAAGCCCAACTGACGGCCAAGCCTCCCTTGGCCATGAACTCCAATCTGGGAGAAGATATGCCTCCAGATCTCCTACTACAGGTGCTGAAACCGCTGGATCCTGAGAGGAAGCTGGAGGACACATGCGCTTGTCAGGGCCAGGGGACGACAACCGACGAACCCATGGAGCCTGGTAAATACCCCTGTGGGGAATTCTGCCCGCGGCCTCCCAAGACTCCGGTGTCCCATCTCCGCCCGGAGCTTCCCAAGACCCCGGTGTCCAGTCTCCGCCCAGAGCCTCCCAAGACTCGGGTGTCCAGTCTCCACCCAGAGCCTCCCAAGACTGGAGCGTCCCATCTCCGCCCAGAACCTCCCAAGACTCGGGTGTCCAGTCTCCACCCGGAGCCTCCCAAGACTGGAGGGTCCCATCTCTGCCAGGAGCCTCCCAAGACTCGCGTACCTCCTCTCCGCCCGGAGCCTCCCGAGAATGGAGCGTCTCATCGCCGCCCAGAGCCTCCCAAGACTCCGGTGTCCGGTCTCCGCCCGGAGCCTCCTAAGACTGGAGTGTCTCATCTCTGCCCGGAGCCTCCCAAGACTGCAGTGTCTCATCTCTGCCCGCTGCCTCCCGAGACTCCCGTGTCCAGTCTCCACCCAGAGCCTCCTGAGACTGGAGGGTCCCATCTCCGCCCAGAGCCTCCCAAGAGTCAGGTGTCTAGTCTCCGCCCAGAGCCTCCCGAGACTGGAATGTCTAATCTCTGCCCGGAACCTCCCAGCACTCGCCGGGTGTCCAGTCTCCTACAACAGTTGCTGAAACTGGACTCTGACAGGAAGCTGGAAGACGCACAAGCTCGTTGTGAGGGCCGAGAGACGACAACCGAGGAACTCACCAAGCCTAGTAAATACTTTTTTTGGGAATCCTGCCCGCGGCCTTTCGAGAGTCGGATGCCCCATCTCCGCCTTGTGCTTCCCAAGACTCGTCGAATGTCCAGTCTCTGCCTAGAGCCTCCCAAGACTCGTCGAGCGTCCAGTCTCTGCCCGGAGCCTACCAAGACTGGAGTGTCCCATCTAAAAGAACTGTTTCAGGAAGATACACCAAACACAACGGAGTGTGTTTCTGACTATCTTGAACGTAGATTCACATTGAGAAAACTCCGTGACTTCAAGTGGGCAGGAGACCTGGGAGTTGATGCAGAGTCCATCAGCAGTCTGTTTGACTTTACCCCTGAGTGCCGAGCAACCTGTCAAGAGCAAAACATTGAGAAGGCAAACGAGTGTTCCTCAGAGCTGAAGTACAGCATGGAGCTAGATGACATGGATGAGATCGACTTCTCGCAGATAAAAGAATGGGACAGGAAACTCCAGGCGGCACCAAATTCTTACAGTGCACAAGGTATGAAGATGAGGTATGGGCCATGGTACTTCAAGCCTAAGTTGGGGAAAAAGCTAAGAAGTGATGAACCTTTGATTGACCCCAAACTCGTACTTAAAAAGCCTGATGAACCCGACATTCTTGACGGTCTTTATGGACCAATTGCCTTTAAGGATTTCATTCTAAGCAAGGGCTACAGAATGCCTGGCATCCTTGAAAGACTGTTTGCCAAGAAGGGATGGACTTTTGACTCTGTTAAGACTCCTATGCAACGTGCAATGCAAGTTTACAAGTACAAAGAAGACGTCACAGATGCATCGAAAGAAGATTAGATGGTTTGCAATTTACTACTTAATTGGGTATTTCTTGCTCTCATTTTAAACATCAGTCAGAATTTATGATGACTGGCCCCGTGAATGTACAACTTTGGCAACATCTGTAAATTCAATACCTAATGTTTATAAATATTACTTGATGACCTGCTTTGGCTTCATTATTTCATATATTTTATCAATTATGTGATTAATATTCACATATACTTTTTTCACATTGTTGAAGCACTGTGAATATTACATCATCATTTCAATTATTTGTAAAAATACATACAACCAGAAACAAAAGCAGAATTAATATTAGAAAGAGAAATGGGGTCGGGTGCGTTGACTCACACTTGTAATCCGTCCCCACTTTGGGAGGCCCAGGTGGGTGGATCGCTTGAGCCCAGGAGTTCAAGAGCAGCCTGGGCAACATGGTGAAACCTGGTCTCTACAAAGTGCAAAAATTAGCCAGGCATGGTGGCGTGCACGTGTAGTCCCAGCTACCTGGGGGGCTGAGGTGGGAGGATTGCTTCATGCCACTGCACTGCAGTCTGGATGACAGAGCAAGACCCTGTCTCAAAAAAAAAAAAAAAAAAAAAAAAAGTGCTGAGTAAAATAATAATTATATAACTCTTCTTATATGAAAATTCTAATGAAATAATTATGACGATTATTTTGTTATAAAAATTGGAGTCTATAGCCAAAATAACGTTAACACTTTTTAACAGTAAAATTATTACCCTCCCCTTTAGGATTCCATCAAACCCTCAAAACAAGTTTAAAAACTATGTATCAAAATCATAGGTGAAACTTGAGCTATGCCATTTTATCATCTCTCTCAATTGAATACATGTAACTATTCACCATGTTCATAAACATTCACTACAAAAGACTATTACCAAATGATATAAACAGGTGCAGAATAGGAGGCAGCTTCAGCTGAGAAGTATCATGCCTTATGGCTCAGAGTGACTGGTTTCTGAGGTTGTCCACGAAGCCTTGGGCTTCATGCAGGAGCATCCAATGTTCAGTTCCTTTCAGCAAGAGACAGACCTACTTTTCTACATTTGGTTATGTGATCTCGCACTTCACGGAGGATGTATCCTCATCTACACAATGGACACCATATCATCAAACTCAAATTCTGGTGAGACTTAAAGGATTACTTATTGGAGTGCCTAATGCCTCAGGCATCACAGAATTGATACTCAACATATATTTGTGGAAGAGGAGGAGGGAGTAGGAAAGGAAGAAAGGTACTAAAAATATCACAACAGAAAGACACTATTAAAAAAAAACTTTTTGATGATGTTTATCTGGTGATAGCCGTCACCTATATCACACACAATCTTAGTTGTTCCTTAAGATGAAACTGTGGTGCTTGCTTTGGCTGCACATATACTAAATTTAAGATGAAAAATTGTAATTGCAAAATAAGAGCCACTGGTTAGGGCTTCTATTGCTTATTGGCAATGACTACTTCCAGTGAAATAAACTTTCCTCAGAGAAATTACGTGGGTTTCTCCACGCTGTAATTACACACATTGGTATTACTTGTCACACAGATATAAACAGAAACAATATTTGATCTATTTAGATTTTTAACACCAGTTGGTCTTCTCAAAATATCCTGGCTTCAAATCCATAGGTTTTAGAGAGAGAGAATTCAAGAGAGCTTGATATATAATTGTGTCTAAAGCTATGAATGGTATATTCCCTAAATACTGTAGTAATCGATTGTATTACAGCATCACATAGGTTTCATAAAAGCTTTGGATAATTTGTCTGTAGGAACATGTGATTTAACGAAGATGAAGGGAATTATTTTTCATTTCTGAGAGTCTTCATGAATGAGCAAGGCCTTTGGAGCTAGGCAAAAATGAGTTAATATCCCAGTGCTGCCATGTTCTTATCCTGTAGCTTTAGGCGGAGGCAGAACAGATGGAGGGAAAACATAGAGGCTGGGCTGGAGGGGGAGGAAGCTAGGAACCCTTCCTGGGGCTACTGTGCACTGGAATGTGTTCCTGGCCCCCAGTGACTCCTACAGAGGGGGTGAGTTTAACAGGCAAGGATGAACCCACTCTCACTGTGGGCCTTGGGAACCTCAGCAGGAGAAGACCCTAGACCACCATGGACACTTGAGTTGGCAGGGAAAGCTACTTAGAGAAGTGGTAGGGGCAGAACTCCAGCTGGGGGCAGAGCGCAGAGGGTGTCCTGTGGGAGCAACTGTAGTGGAGCACTGTCAGAGATGTACATCTCCCTAGGCTAGATTTGTTCTCATAGGAGACTTTAGCCCTAAGGGAACTTTCGCACCTGAACTCTGCAGGGCAGTCTTACCCATGAGACAGGACCGGTTCAACCTGAGCACCTCTGGCATCTTTCAGGGCCCCAGCCTGGCCACAGCTGCTTGCAATACAGCTGCCAGGTGCCCCCTGGGGCCCACATCACAGATGGTGCATCACGCCTGACTGGCAGAGTGTTCCAGCAGAGTGCCCTTTGCAGACACACAACAGGTCGTTCACAAACATGGCCACCTTCCACATCGCTATGCCAGTGTGTGTATGCCCAAGCAGATCTATCCTTCCCTTCTCCACCAGCACACTGGTACTGGTATACCTGCGCCCTGCCTTGCCACTACTGCTGCCGTGAGTGCACCCCTTCACCATCCCCACCCTACCACACCACTTCAGAACATCGGCAGGCACAGAGCCCCCGAGCCCCACCCCTGCCAGCACCCTGCCCCTGAGCCTCGATCACCAGAGCAAAACTAGACATAGAAAACAGTGGACTGGCCCGCAGCCTTGAGCAGACTGCTGCCAGCTTAAACATGCACAGAGGGCACACGCAGTCCTGAACCCACAAATGCCCCACCTCCATGCTAAAACCACCACCTCCAGGGATATACACACAGTCTCAGTGGGGGCTCCTCACCACCACCAAACCATACTGCCACCACTGCTGCTGCGAATACCCACATCGAGGCTAAGCACCCCAGCAACACATGATAACCCTGCTGTATCAAATGGATAAGTGTGCACCCCGCATTGCTGCAGCAGCAGCTACTGCTGGTACATGGGAACAAGGACAGATCCCACTGTCACTGCCCTGTGAAGTGATTTGGCTGGCATCATACACTGGAGTGTTGTGACCAGTGGTGTGGTAGCACCTCAGCCCCTCCAGTACAACAGGTTTCTAACCTGGAGGAGCCAGAGATCAAAGTTGGGGCCCGATACCAGTCTACCAGAGTTACAGCATGCAATCCAGGCAGGAGTTCTGAGCTGAGCCTTGACCCCCGAAAATCTTCCAGTCATGTAACCGGTTGACTGAATCCACCTTATATCACAATTAAAGATCATCAAATAGTATGAAAGTAAAAAAATAGCCCATTCACAGCACAGAAACTTCAAAGATTTAAGAAACATTAGCCCACAAAGATGAGAAGGAACCCGCACAATAACTCTGACAATTCAAAAAGCCAGTGTTTTCTTTTCTCTAAATTACTACACTGGTACTCCAGCAAGGGTTTTAAATTGGACTGAGATTTCAGAAGTGATAGAAAAAGAATTCAGAATATGGATAAGAATGATCACTGAGATTCAGGAGAACATTGAAACCCAATTCAAGGATGAAATAATTAATATAAAATGACACATGAGCAGAGAGACAAAATAGCCAGTATAGAAAAGAACGAATCACACCTCACGGAGCCGAAAAACATTCTACAAAAATTTCATAATGCAATCACAAGTATTAAAAGCAGAATAGATCAAGCTGATAAAAGGATCTCAGAGCTTGAAGACTGGCTTTCCAAAATAATACAATCAGACAAGAATAAAGAAAAAAGAATAAAAAGGAATGGGCAAAACTTCAAAGAAATATGGAATTATGTAAAGAGACCAGATTTATTACTTATTGGTATCACTGAAAGAGATGGAGAGAATGGAAGCAACCAAAAAAGACAAAGAAGGGCATTACATAGTGGTAAAGGGTTCAATTTAACAAGAAGACCTTACTATCCTAAATATATATTCATGCAACACAGAAGAACTTAGATTTATAACATGGTATCTTAGAGAGCTTCAAAGACACTTAGAATCCCACAAAATAATAGTGGGAGACTTTAACACCCCACTGACAGTATTAGACAGATCATCAAGGCAGAAAATTAACAAACACATGAAGGACCTGAACACAACACTGGACCAAATGCTCATCTGCACATGGCATGTACTCTAAAATCAACCACACAATCAGACATAAAACAATCTCAATAAATGCAAAAGAACTGAACTCATACCAACCACTCTCCCAGACAATGAGGCAATAAAAATAGAATTCAAGATTTTTTTTTCAATGTGCAAACCATGCAATCACATTGAAATTAAGCCTATTGTGGAATAACTTTGGGTAAATAATGAAGTTAAGGTAGATATCAATAAGTTATTTGAAAGGAATGAGAGCAAAGATACAACATACTAGTATCAGGAGAAACCCCACCCCCGATATTCAATGTGGGTTCTTTTCTACTTCCCTAAGCGCTGGCTGGTCTGAGAAAAAAAGGGAAAGAGTACAAAAGAGAGAAATTTTAAAGTTGGGTGTCAGGGGGAGACATCACATGTTGGCAGGTTCCGTGATGCTCCCTGAGCCATAAAACCAGTAAGTTTTTATTAGCGATTTTCAAAGGGGGAGGGAGTGTGCAAATAGGGTGTGGGTCACAGAGATCACATGCTTCACAAGGTAATAAAGTATCACAAAGCAAATGGAGGCAGCACGAGATCACAGGACCACAGGACAGGGCAAACTTAAAATTGCTAATGAAGTTTCAGGCATGCATTGTCATTGATAACATCTTATCAGGAGACAGGGTTTGAGAGCAGACAACCAGTCTGACCAAAATTTATTAGGTGGGAATTTCCTCGTCCTAATAAGCCTGGGAGTGTTACAGAAGAGCGGGGCTTATTTCATCCCTTTGCCTTCGACAGTAAAAGACAGCTACCCCCAAAGCAGCCATTTTA